TTAAAATTAATTAAATATTTAATTGAGCCTATAATTAAATAAAATTTGTCTATTTAAAAATCTAATTAAGTCCCTATACTTATTTTTTGTGCAAAATCATCTAATAATAATTTAATTTGACCTTGAATTTGCTTTATCTTTTCAGTATTGGGTAAGATGGGGTATAATTGAGCTTATAATTTGTCCTAAACTCCAGTGCATTTAAAACTCCTTTTAGCTTATTTTTGCAAAATTGCTATTTTTTTTTATTGTTTTTTATTTCATTTTTTGATTTTTTTAAAAAGAAAAGGGAAAATTTAGGGCAAACCTAAAATTGAGTTATGACATGTTACATTTTTCAATACCAAATATTTTTTTCCTTTTTTAATCATCTTTAAAGCCAACATTTACATTTACAAATTGCATCATTCTACCATTATCCAAATAATTCCATAATCCCCTCTTAGTTTGTCTCATCTCTACCTATTTCACAACAAACACCAACATGTTCGGAGTTGTCCCCTTTTCCTCTTGGTCTCTAACATCACCCTAACCTTTCTCTCATTGTATTGTTTCTTGGTCACACATGTCCTCATTGATATTATTTACCATTCCTGATCTAAATCATCTTATCGGTCTTAACCTAATTGCTACATCATCTATTTCTTCATTATCTTTTCCAACTATCCAAAAACAATACAATACGGTCTTGGGACTTCATTCAAACAAATTAAAGTTTATTAAGGCAAAATGATATCCTAACTATTAATTTGATATGACTATAAAAATTTATACTTTAATCTTTAATAACACTTTGTCTTTGATAACATATGATTCAACTATGAATGTGGTATGCTATAAATAGATATACAAGATTAAATACAAGACAAATAGGAACTTTGAGTGCTACAAAGCATAATTAATAGCTAATGGCTATTATTAGCAAGAAAAGGTTAATTTTCAGGAGACACTCATTTCAATAACAAAGCCTTGTAGTATTTGGATAATGCTTAGTATTGGTGTTACTCATGGTTAGTCAATATATCAACTAAATATGTATAATGTTTTTCTTAATAAATTTCTTGATACAAATTTGTTTATGACTTAGCCCATTATCTTTTTTGATCCATAGTTCCCAAATCATGCTTGCAAACTTAGACATTTTTTTATGGTTTGAAATAAGCATCCCATATGTGGTTTCATCATCTTCGTCACGTCTTAGTTCTTTTCTAAGGATTTGATAGCTTTAAAGTTGATAATTTCTTGTTCATTCTTCATTCTTCTAAGGATATGGTATTCCTCCTAGTTTGTGTTGGTGGTATTTTACTAACTAGCAATAATCTTGCCTTTCTTTAGCATCTTATCATACATTTAGATATTGAGTTTACCTTAATGATGTCGACTCACCTCATATATTGATGATATAGTTTAATCGTCTCACTTTCACATGACATGATATTTATTTTATTGTTAACAAGATATATCAGTTCATATATTTTTTCTATTAATGTTCATTGGTTGGAAGCTAATCATATCCTATGTTCTTTACATTGCAGTTCATTCCATGGGTTGCACGAACATGTTAGAATGATTTCTCAATCAATGTTTTTAATGATTCTATTTGGATTAGTAGTATATATGATTAAAAGTCTACCAGTGCTTATATTATTTTCCTAGGTTATAACTTGATTTCTTAGAAATGTGGTAAATAATGTATTATTGCTTGTTTTTTCAAACAAGCCAAATATAAAGCTATTACTAATATTGTTGCTAAACTTTAATGGGTCAAGTCTTTATTTTATAAACTCAATATTTTAGGTACATTTCATCTTTTATGGTGTGATTACTTAGGAGACATTTATTTTACTACTTGAAAATTTATTTCCACTTTGCCTACGACATGTTTGCTCACAAGGAACACCTAAGCTTAATTAATTACTTATTGATTAGTACTTAAAAGTGCATTTTTATCAAGGTTTTATATCATCATTTTGCACTTGAAGTATCAATAACTCCTTAACTAAAGCATGTTTTATAATAACATATCTAATAATATAAGATACCTTTAAGTTGTGGTAAATG